GGCCGCAGCAGAGAGAATGCTTGTGATCAGTTGAGTAAGCCTGATTATTCTGCTCGGCTGCCAAAGGATAGTGGCAGAAAATGTACCAGCATGCGCTGCAGCGGGCAGAAGAAGGGTGGCGTACAATCTCTCAGCCAGAGGCACGCGCTCTCGGAGGAATGTTTCTCTCTCTCTCTCTCTCCCTCTCTCTTTTTATATCCTCCTTTGTATGTTCTTTTCTCTCCCTCACTTATGCGCCCGTTCGCTGACTCACTCCCTCATCCCCCATATGCATCAAACCCCCCCCACTTTTCTCCAATCCCTCTCTGTCTCTGATTCCTTTTTTCATCCCACTCCTTCTTTACTCGTCCCTCTTTCAGTCTCTTCCTCTTCATCTCGCAAGCCTTTTTTCCACTCCATCTCCTTTTCCCCTGTTTGATGGGAGTTAGCTCTTAGTGCGCGCGCACGCTCGTGCAACTTTTGCGTGGGTCTGGTGCGCATCTATGTGCGTATGTTTGTGTGTGTGTTTGAACAGAAAATGGGATGTTTGCCTTGCTATTGTTGGCTCAACACGCTGGCGTCTATACAAAGCTTCATCTTCCCTGTGTAAACGGAGGCAGCCTGCTCTCTTCAGAGCGAGCCCCAAAGGGAAAAGCCCTCCAGCCTCTCTCTCTCACTCCCTCTCGCCAGGTTCTTCTCCAGGCTCTGCTGCCATTAAACTGCACAGTTAACTCCTCTCCTTATTGACGCCCAGAAATAAAGCGCATCTGCGCAGCGCTTTACTGTTTTTTTTATGCCGTTAATCAGTTTAAAGAATTGCGGCAAAGCTACAGCATTTGATTGTAAATGTTTGGACAGGCTGCAATTTATTTGTGATGTTGTTTATCTCTTGTTTCGGGACGGAACGATTAGCAATTAGCAACACACCATTTCTACACCTCAAAAAATGCTTCTTCGTGGCAGAAACTCATTAAAAAAACAGATGCTTGCATAATCATATCAGTAACCATAGACAGCATTGCACCATCTCTCTCTCTCTCTCTGTCTCTCTCTCTTTTAGCTGCAGGAGCAGATGCGTGTAGCAGAAATTTGACCCAAGGGAAAATGCCTCCCCTCCCTATCATAGATCCACCCTCTCTTTTCAATCCTGCATAATCTCTCAGTCCAGCAGTGATTCAGAGGCAGCAGGGCTGGGCTGTGTTTAGCATGGTTAGCGAAACTCATGCCCCTGTGCACATCTTTAGCCATCCTTGACAACTTAAATATGCTGTGAGTAATAAAGACGAGGTCTGTCCATTCATTTCCCTCCAAAACAGGGATCCCCCAAATAGCTCTGCATACATACTGTCCAAGCTCGTTGTTCAATTTATCAGAAACACCTGTCTGCAGGGCTATTTTTCCACACCTCCAAAGTTCAGTCTTAGAAGTTGGTTGCGCTTTCTGCTTCTCAGATCGATGTAATCCCAAACACGTTCAGTGATGTTGAGGTCTGGACTCTGGGGTGGTCAGTCCGTTGTTCTTTGTATGATTTGCAAATTAAACAAAAATATTTTCCTTTTCTCTCATCATTCACTTCCACTTATTGGCTGCCTCACTGATAGGTTCACTGTCAAGGTGTACAATTACAGAATGCAGCACAATCTCTCAACTAAATCACTGGTCTGTTTCTGACCACAGGACCACTGTTGACCAGATATTATTTGGGTGGTGGACCATTCTCGACACAGCAGTGACACTGACATGGTAGTTGCAGTGCTGCTGCTACGAGTCTATCAGGCACAGCGGTGGTTTTTATACACACTGTTAAGTTGAGAGCGGTCCACTACCTAAAAATATCCTGGCAGGAGCAGCTCTGTGGTTTGAAACTGACCACTGATGAAGGACTAGAGGAGGGCTAACGCAAATGTCGTTTTTTTCTTTTCAGACCCATAAGACTGAGTTGTGTTCTCACAGTGGAAGGTGGACAGAAACATTTTCAGATCTGAAGCAAGAGTGGAGCTTGATTTTCTCTTCTCTGTCAAAGATAAAAGCTTATTTGATGGTGACAGTTTTGATGGTCAACCAGGTCTAACACGGCGCATGGTTGTTTAAAGTTCCATTTTCTCTGTATCTTTTAATAATATTGAATATTCCTTAACGTGTGTGTGTATCAAATATATATATATATATATATATATATATATATCTCGCTGCTCTCGTAAGAAAACCTTGTATCTCCATTTTTGTCATTTTTTGTTTTTTGACATAATTTGAAAATACCCGCTGTTTTTTACATTGTGTGTAAATTTCATGATGAATGGGCCAAAAGAAATGACCTAAAATGACTTAGAAAAACGTCTGGTTCCATTGACTTACATTAAATTAAAGTAGGTTGACCGTTTTGGAGATATGAGGTTTTCTTCCGACAGCAGTAATACATACAATAATGTGGAGCTGGAGCAACAGCATTCTGCAAATAGTGTGTTACTTGAGCTCTGGCCTTCATTTCTTCTTTCTTAGAGCGTACAGCCAGACCTTGGTTGAGCAGTGACCTCCATCCTTGTGTTTACTTGAACTCCCATGTCTTTTCTGCCTTTTCAATTAAACCTAACAAATAATTATTAGCTGCGCCGTGGCGCCCCTCCCCCACCGGCTGCTGCGCACTGTGTAATTGGCGTAGTCGTTGGCGAGGTGCATCCGCGCATAGTGATTATGTAGGTACATAATTACACACTATTCTCCTCCATTTAAGAACCAAAAGCGTGCTGTTCCTTAGTTTACCTCTGATCATTTTTGCGCACTGAGTGGCTGGCTGTTTTATTTATAACGTTTAGTAATGAGTTCCGCCCACCGGAGGCTCGGTGAGCAATAACCACGCACTGGATGTGGGTGGTGTGTCCTTTCTCTCAATAACGCTTCAGATTGCATAGAAAAAGCGAAACTCCCTCATAAGTGGGCAGCTAATCTATGGAGAATGGAGAAATAAATTGCAATAAACAACCATCGAAAGTAACTGAAAGAGTCATTTACTTGGATGAGGTTTCAGAGCATTAGCAGCTTAGATGCTGTTTCAAAGTTTTAGCTTGATAATTATCTTTCTTCTGCAGACATGGTGTTATTGGAAGGCTGCCATGTTCTTTAAGATTCTGTTTTTAAAACTTTTTTTTTTGCAATAAACTGTGAAATGTGATTAGAGTTTTTCTCCCATTATCAAATCAAATTCGGGCAATTATGTATGTGTGGTGTGCCATCATAGGCATGGAAAAAGTAGTGGTCCCAGATCAGAACCCTGCAGAACCCACAGTGACTGCAAGAAAGATAAGAGGCCACAATCTGCTTCTGCTTGGAGAAGCAGCAGACATTTCTCGCAAAAGTGTGGCACTTAAGACAGATTTGACATGATAAAAGTGTTGTTTTGAATTAACTGGTTTCAGATGAACTTTTAAGAGGAAACCATTATTAAGTTTCGCATTTTTCTGATCTATAAGAATAAAGCCAACTGCCTGACATGTCACAAACGCTTAAAAACCTACATACATGTATTATAGTAAAACTACACATAGTCTTTTACTTTTGACCAATACACAGAGCCACATAAAAGTATCAAGAATGTAGTATACCACTTATGACCTCAAAGTTTACAGATTATAGCATGAATGAGTCCATATTTTTGAATAACCTCAACCATTTCTAATTAATAACCATATAATATAGTGGCAGACTATGGATATTGGAGCTAGGCCTTCAGTTTGGAGGAATAAAGGTCAAAACCTTGTTGTGTCTAGAAGTATGTTAGCGCTAGATTAATGATGGTGCACAAGAACACTTTTTGGAAGATTGTAAAAGATGTTTTATTTAAAGCATGTAGCATTTGTTAACATATATTTTACATTGTATGTTGCATACAGTAAAAATAAACATTACCTCATGCAAGAGAAATCAGTTATGTTAACTAACGATATTGTTTTTCTAGCTAGCTTATTTGGCTGTGCACTGCTGATGTTAAAAGAACACAGACTAAAATAATTCTTGGGCAGGTTTTACTGGCTGTGTACCCATGTTTGCGGCAAATTTAACCACAATACACCACAAAGGTATATAGATACACTAGTTTTGTAGACTCTGAGAACTCAATGGTGGAAATATGCAACATTTTGTAACGTAGGTTGTGCTTCAGACCCCTTCCCGAGCTGATGAATCTGATGATTGTGAGTGTGTTAAGAGTATTCAAAGACAACTGTCGTCTGAGGATGTGAGTGAATTATCTACTGTTGTCATCAGATCTTTAGCAGTGTAATGTTGATTTGCATTTGAGACCTTAACATCGAGGCAGATCTTCATTTTCAACCTGTATGTGTGACATTAATAAGTATGATGTGGTCTGAAGAACCCCTGTGAAATCCAACTTGACTCTGAGTTTCAGGGGTTTACAGGGTGATTCGCCATATTTTAGTGTTTTTTTTGCTCCTGACTCAGTAATACAATTCAGAGTGCAGCTCCAACAAGTTGTCCCCACACCAGGCGTATATTCAGCACTGGCTGAGATCATGTCTGGCCCCTCAAGACCACGATTATTGTTGGAGTTGTTATCTCTAACAACTCTAATAGTATATTTGCGGTTAATGACATATCTAGGGCTTCTAGAAGGCCTAGAGTGATGTTTTTTTCTTGGATGTTTTTATTGGTCCTACCCATTGTAAATCGCAAAATGATTGGTTGAATAAACTGTCAATTTTAATTGTGTTGGTGGTTAATCTGACTAGTTAGGCTTATGAAGTTCTAACCAGTGGGAGAGATTGCTTGACATTATCTACCTAGACACAATAGAAAGAAAAATCCTGATTGGACATTGGGCATTTAAAGATTTTAACCGTTTTGTTTCCAACCAAAACTGAACAATGAAATCAGAGCATTACAACAGTACTTACAGTGTTAAGGCCTCCTCTGAAGGCACTTTTTCTTGCTTTCTGCTATAAACTAAGATACTTCTATATCCATATCTATGACCTTTCTCATGATGTTCTCCCTGTCTCGCTCTGCAGAGGACCAGCTGCCGTTTGGCTTCCCCAGCATAGACATGGGTCCACAACTGAAGGTGGTGGAGAGAACGCGCACAGCCACCATGCTCTGTGCCGCCAGTGGCATCCCGGATCCGGAGATTTCTTGGTTTAAAGACTTCCTGCCTGTGGAGCCTGCCCTCAACCAGGGCCGTATCAAACAGCTGCGATCAGGTACGTTATCAAGAGTGCTGATGAAACACTGATTTTTTGGAAAGTGGTGGTTTGTTTTGATGTTATGTATTTATTTACAGTCAGATGTGAACTGATTTGATTCAGTGAGTGCGTTTACATGCACCTGATAATCCGTTCACAATCAGATTTTGGCAGTTATCTGATTATTTAATTGGTCATGTAAACAGAATATTCTGATTACTTAGATTGGATTAAGAAATCAGCAAAGAAATCTGATAAAGATAGCTAGATCTTAGCTCAGTAATGGAGTTTTTCAACACATGCATACCCTTACTCTGATTCCTTTCATTGTTCTCAGTCTGCACATTTTCATTGTTAACCCAGCCCCTGAGAGATGGTAATAACACACTTACATGCTTGATGATATGAAGAATTTTAATATTTTTCATCTTCTAGATTGTGTATATTCATATTTTCTGGTAAAGTCATGTGTAAAAGAAAAAGCTGTGGCACGAAGTTTGAGTTTTACTTTACGTTTACTTTTACGTACTTTACGTTTACTTTACTACCTGACTCATGTAGACCCAGAGTTTTCCTATTATCTGTTTACCCAAGTGCATGCAAATGCGTTGAACATGTTACTGACAAAAAAAAAGATTTTCTGCAGTTATCAGATTATTAAGTGCATGTAAACATGCTCACTGAATTTTGACTCAAGCATTTCAAGTATCCGTGATCAGAGTAGTTACCTCTTATTCCTTTCAGTTATTCTTAAGCGTAATATGATAAATGGTTTTGGTGATAGGAACCTTCTTACTTGTCTTCTTAAAAATATATTTTAGGCTAAAACCTTTTCAACACTATTGTAAAACAGTGTCTGAGGCATCAGGCAGCGTATTCAGAGCCATTTCATGTAGTAACTTTCTGTAAGGAAGCTTTTAGAGGTGTTAAATGCTTTGGATGTGTGGTTCCTATCACCGCCACTGTTAACACTGTTTGTGTGTTTTGCAAAGTTAAAGTCTTCCAGTTAAATTCATTTTACATAATATCTTCAGACATTTATGTAAGGCTTTCATAATATATAATCATATTAATGTTGTGTATTCCACAGAATCTGTATCAGCAGTGAAATTGGTGCATTTTACTTGCTCCAAAAATGAGCTTGTATGCTTGTTGACCCTGAAAATGTGTTGAAATGAAAGGGTATTTGGAAAGATTTTTAAAATCACTACTTTTTTTTTCCACTGCAGCTAATCTCGGTAGGGCTATAAAGGAATATGATTCGATTTTTGACTTTAATTTGCGAGCAGAGGCTGAACAGCAGGGTATGATTAGAGAATTTATTCATTTAACAATGTTCTAACTCTCATCTGTTTTTTTATGTTTGCTCATGTTCATCATTCGTATCAGTGCCTGTGCTTCTCACCCTCATTAAAATCTCTCTTATTTATTTCATTGATTTGTCTGATCCCCGTGGAGCCGTCTTGTATTTTTCTGTACTTACTCTTAGTGATTCATTAGATGCAATTTATTCCCAATTCGCTTCATTTTTCATAATTTTCATAACAGTCCACATTCCCTACCAGCCGAGGCCCTTTTTATTTTTTTAAGCTGGTTGTGGCATATGGCCATCAAAAGCAAGAAGACGGCTCATGTCTTCCAGCAGCTGCTTTTGAACTGTAGATACTCAAAAGTTACCACTGTTTCTTTCCCTCCTTTTTCTCTTCTGTTTTATTTTTCCTTGAAACTCTCAGGAGTCTTTGGTAAGTATTTATCTCACCCAGACCGAACTCTTTTTTTTTTAACCCAATCCTAGCGAAGAATGGCGTGTGCTTTGTAACCCGATTTTGTCCTTAACTAAAATCTTGCAGCCGCTAAATGCAGTACTGTGCAAACGTTTAGGCTGGCCCAAGAGAACTGTCTAAAACTATTTATCTGGTTAGTAAGTGTAAGTTTTTGCTTGTTTTATAAATTACTTTAAACATTAAAGGACCTTCATCATGGAAAACCCCAATTTCCTTGCTTTTTTTTTTTAATAAAATGGTTCAAAACATATAATTCACTCTCTAGTCTGTATGATCCGTATATGAAAACCATGCAAACACGTCATTTTCAGTTAACTGTTTTTTGTGATGTCAAAAAGGCCAACACGTTTACATACGCTCACTGTGCACTTTATTAGGAACACCTGTACACTTAATTATTCATGTAGTTATCTAATCAGCCAATCATATTGCAACAGTGCAGTGCATAAAATCATGCAGATATGGGCCAGCAGCTTCAGGTCATATTCATGTCAACTATCAGAATGTGATCTCAGTGATTTTGACCGTGGCATGATTGCTCGTGCCAGACAGGTTGGTTTGAGTATTTCAACTGCTGATCTCCTGGGATTTTCACACAAAACAGTCTCTAGAGTTTACTCAGAATGGTGCGATAAAGAAAAAAACATGCAGTGAGTTCAGTTCTGCAGACAGAAACGCCTTGTTAATGAGAGAGGTCAGTGGAGAATGCCCAGACTGCTTCGAGCTTACAGAAAGGCTACTGTAACCCAAATCACCACTTTGTGCAATTGTGGTGAACAGAAAATCATCTCAGAATGCACAATGCATCAAACCTTGAGGCGGATGGGCTACAACAGCAGAAGACGACGATGGGTTCCATTTCTGTCAGCCAAGAACAGAAAACTGAGGCTGCAGTGGGCACAGGCTCACCAAAACTGGGCAGCTAAAGACTGGAAAAATGTAGCCTGGTCTGAAGAATCTCAATTTCAGCTGAAGCACACAAATGATAGGGTCAGAATTTGGTGTCTACAGAATAAATACATGGACCCAATTTGCCTTGTCTCAAAGGTCCAGGCTGGTGGAGGTGGTGCAATGGTGTGGGGAATGTTTTCTCTACACACTTGGGGCCTCTTAATACCAATCAATCATCGCTTGAATGCCACAGCCTATTTGAGTACTGTTGCTGACCATGTGCTTCATGGACACAGTTTATGCAAATTACAAATTTTTTACTTATAATGGCTGCTTCTAGCAGGATAATGCACCATGTCACTAAGCAAAAGTCGTCTCAAACTGGTTTCATGAACGCCACAATGTCTTCAGTGTTCTTCAGTGGCCTTTCCAGTCACTGGATCTGACAGGCAGCCAGCCAGAGCAGAAGTCATTTACAAACGTCAGTTTTAAAGGCACAGCAACAGAAAAAACAGCATGCTTACTTCTAAGGGTAAAGAGAGGCTGGAAAATGGACATGTAAAATGGATTATGATATTTTTTAGTATATTTATAATCAAATGTCTGCTGATACTGATATGATTCCAGTATCATTGTGCATCCCTATTTAACACATCTGATCCAACTCATCAGCTTATTAGCAAGGCCTTCAAAAGTTGAATTCAGAGTGTTAAAAGAAAGAAAATGCTAATCTCTGGAGAGCTGTGGGCAGCAAGGAACTGAGTTTGACACCCCAATCTAATAATTATAATGCTGCAATTGGACAGTCCTGGTAAACTCGTTAGATTTCTGAGTGTATTGCCCCTGATATCCAGTATTACATATTAAAGGTGGAGGAAAAATAGTAAATGCACGAAAATGTAGGATGTGGCCCCTGAATAGCGATAGAAAACAAGAGTAGTTTACAGGCTGAGCCACATTGCAAGTTTATGATGTTGGTTATACTGATCTATTTCTTCTACTTGTCATAGATTCATTAGCTCAGAGGTTAGCAATTTAACTAGCAGCTAACAACTAAACAGCTTATGAGGCAGCAGTAATATAAGTAATGACATGACTTGAATAAATAGCTTAGCATCCGTTATAAATGTCGCGCCACGTGTCAATACATCACTGAATCCAGTGTTGGCTGTTGCTGCGATGACATTGTGCAGCATTTGTGAATCAAACTTTTGCTGTGACATTTACAGCCATGAGACTTCGGTGAAGGCAAAGAAAGGTGAACAGTGAGACTTTACAGCTGTGTGCTACTGAAACAGTAGCTACAGCCAACAATTATGCAAATTAAAAAAAAAAAGAATGACCAAAAAAAAACAACGAATAAATTCTCTAATGATTTAAAACAGGCTGTAAAACTTTGGTCTGTTTTAATATAATGCAGTTTGGAAATCTGGGGCACGGAGACAAAATGGAATTAACACAATGTCACATACTTTGACAAAGCGCTCTCTGATTGGTCCAATCTTTAAAGACGATGCAGATCAGTCGCTTCGTGGTTTCTTCTTTTGATGGGCATGAAAACTGAATGAAACACATTTATTGTTTTCTTTTTATTATTTTGATCAAAGAACTTTTCAATTTATTACCACAACTCACAATTTCACCACCAGCCTCATTTAACATAATGAAGTTCTGATTAGCAGAAGCTGGTTGGTAACTGTAAATACTGTGCTTCCTCGAGGAGAAGTTTGGAAAGGGTTAGCACACTGACATACATGAAAATTTATGAAAAAAATGATTGCGTTAACTTTTATGTGTATTTTGCATATTCCCGAGCAGACAAATGCGTAGTCTAGATAAATATAGATAAATAGATAAATAGCTTTAAATGTAATTTACTCAGGTGGCCTTCGATGTTTGCACAGCACTGCATGTCACTTTTACCTTTCTGATCCCACTAATCAGCGTGAGATGGTTTCCTCACACCTGTTCCCTGATGAGTAATGAAGGAGACCCCACTTGACCCACTTTACTGTTTGACGTGGAACACGTCGCTGGCATGTATTTGCTAATGATGAGAAGTGACACAGCAGATAGGCTAATGCTTGTTTATTTTAAGGGGGCTAGCCATGTGTTGCATAATCACACACACAGCTTGGTGTCGTTGGTCAAAAGTTTGGTATCAGCGTTTTCAATAATCTGGTTGCAAACAAATGGATCAAATGATTCTAATATGCTAGTTCTGTTCAAGTCCACAGGTTCAAATAACTAATAGAAAGCTAAAAAAATAAAAAGTAAAAAATGAAAAAATAAAAGTAGTTTTATTGGAATTTAGACTGATGAAAAAATCTGTAGATGATTCTAAAATGACAGAACACCATATGACATTGAGGATGAGAATGTTATAAGAAAATTAACACACAGAATATATTAGATTTCAAATGCAGTTCTCAAATCTTGGTGTATGTTGACAAAAAATATTGTAAATAAACATGTGATTGCAGAGAACACATCTGCACATTCTAATGCATAATTGCTGCTTTTTGCTGAATTTAATACATTGAGAAAAAAAACTTAAAATGCGATCTGTGCAAAAGTTATGGCACATTTTCTATTTCATGTTTTATTGTTAAACTCAGCAAATAAATAAACTGTACACTAAAATTTGGGAAGAAAATGTCAGCGTATAGAGGATGTGTTAACTTTAACTTAGAAAATCAAATTTAGTTTGTGCAGGAATTTTCAAACTTTTGCATAGGCAAAAGTTTGTTTGTGAGAAACTGCAGCACTGTGCGATTAAGCTGGTGTCTTTAAAGCAGTTTTGCAAATTTACGGGTGCAACCTAACTATGCCTAACTAGATTTTGCTCAAATGCATATTATAAGTTTAGAGCCCATCAAAAATGGCACTAATAATTTAATTAATTAAATCTTTTACACTATTTGACAACGTCAGCTGGCGTTTACATTGTATGGACATCTCATGATCAACAGAAAGGGACTAAACATTGCTTGTTACAGTACTCCTGTACTCCTATTTCTGTTTTGTTATGACAGTGTTAGCATGTGTATTTATACAAACACTTCCTATAACACAATCTGATTGGTTAAGAAGCCTTCTACCGCAATAAGTGTATCTTTTCTAAGTTTCTCTTGGCCTACATCAAATTTCAAACCTGTCAATACAAGTTGGCAACAATTTGCGCTATAAAATGCTTTACAGACAGGCTGGAATTAAATCACATTCAGGGCAATGTTGATAAAGCTGAGCTGAACCTGAAATAGTTATGCAAAAGGCTGCTACTTTGACAAGGAACTGACAATATTTAAACACGGTATTTGTATCTTTTCTATACTTTTTTCCTTGATTTTGTAGAACTGTTGTAGAAGAGCTACAGAACACCTGAGATCGAGTGTTATCACGAATAACACCATGGCATTACCTTCGGCTCATTCCTGCGACCATGATGTTATTCATGATAACAGACACTCATGTTGTATTACTTAAGTGTATAACTTAAATGTAAGTTATTATTATATTAAAAATAACAACAGTTATTCAAGACAAGTGATTCCAAACTTTTGAACCTTCCTCACGTCTATGAAGCGCAGGGGCTCGTTTTTTCTGCTCAGAATGAGCACCTCTCTGTTTTCCCGCGACCGAAGTGTTCATCGACAGAGCTGTCAGCCTGTTCTTGTCAAAAACAGAGGCACACGGATCACAGGTCTCTGCCACACTCTGTTTCCCTACGATCGGGGAGGTATAATTGTAAGCTGTGCAGAGTGAAGGAGCTTTCATGATCTTCAGAATGAGTCACAGGCTGAGACAGACAGAGAGAGAGCGAGAGAGAGAGCAGTAGACGGTGTCAGGAGACGAGGAAAAGCTGAACCAATCTGCTGTTAAAACTTATGGGGGGACAAAGTGTGATATATGGTGAGACATAAAGACAAGGAGATGCAGAAACAACGAGAGAACTCGGAGGTACAGAGTAGAAGTGACAGAGAGAGAGAGAGAGAGAGAGAGAGAGAGATAGAGAGAGATAGAGGCTGAAAGTGTGTGCAAGTTTCAACATGTTCTGTCGCAGTTCT